ACTGAGATTTTTTTTTATTGTTGGCCAAAAATAGTTCAACACATATAAGAACGAAAGTCAACTAAATGACGTGTTGTACACTTACTTATAGACATATAGACATGATGATAACTGTATTATATAATTCATTTAAACGCTGCATAATCTTAGAACATATTCCAGGATAAACACAATTAGGCTTTGCCGATCTCAATCTCGAGATATCTGTCCTAAAATATAAAATATTACTTATTCCGTTTCATTGTCAATGTTAGGAATATTTTCATGAGGATGACGTCTTCTTTTTTGTGATTGTGCAAACTTCCAAGAATATGTTAAGCATAGTTTGTTTATATTTTCTTCTTTACCTAAACATATCACAGCCTTTTTAAAAACATTGCTTATTTCAAATAATCGTCAGTTGAAAAAGGAAACACAGCGTTTAATAGAATTCCATGCGACCATGTATTGTGACCAAATGGAAAATATATTCCAATCATAAAATAAGGTTTGTCGTACTTATCTTATCTTATCAGTATAATTTATCAGTACTTGAAACGACCTGACCTAAAAAAATCAAATTAAAGGGTAGATAACTCGGAAACTGGCTGGGTAACATCTATGTTTCCGCTTAATGACCTTTTCGGGAGTTTTCATAAAGATAAATAGGCAAAATTAAAACTGTTCAATAGAATTCCTCGAAACTTGGCATGTTGTTAGAATATGATAACAGACACATTTTAAGCGAAAAGAAAAAAATTGGTGTCACCGTTCTCGTTTTGAGTTATCTGCCCCTGAATCAGATTTCTTTTCTGTTTAAAATGTTTCTGTTATCATATTCTAATAACATGACAAGTTTAAAGAAATTCTATTGAACAATTTTAATTTTCCCTACATGTCTATATGAAAACTCCGGAAAACGTCTTTAAAATGATTCTGTTATGATATTATGCAAAGTTAATATAACTGGTATCATACAAATTTTATTCTGCAGATATGTCTATGTAAATGTAGTATACGCCTTTAACAACGGCTCAAATCGACCGGTACTCAATTGATCTTAAAGCCCCTAATATAAATAGCATTGACACTTGTCATTACTATTTTATAGCCCCGATTTAATGTACAAAGCCTTGAATGTGTATCATCACTGTTTTAGTAGAGAAATTCCATCTGTCTGTAGCTTGATCGTAAACCCAATGTAACAGTATAAAACAAATTAACGCACCAATCAATTTTAAAACCACAAATTCCACTATTGCGTTGTTTTCTTAACCCATTGCTTCATGAGCATTTTCTGAAAAATGGCTGTTTTCATTGAAAAGTCTCCCGTTACAAGTTCAAATTGCTATAATACTATAAAAACTGCTTCAACACTAATCAAACTTGGCACAAATGTTGACTGGACCATTGTCCTTGCAACAACATGCTCAGACTTAAATTTTCTGTTACCATGGCAACGAGGGGACATCTCAAAATTGCCAAAAATCACTATTTTGCGTTGATTTTTTCCATCAAAATTGATTTCAAAGTGCTGCAACTTATCAATGGATTGAGATAGAGTCAAATGCTTTTCAGCGTTGGTTACACGTTACCTTATGATCAATCTGGGGTCATTTACAGCCTCTCACAAGTCCAAAATTTTCTTGGCGATGAGGGGGACTCCGCCCCCCTTCAAACCCCCCAAAACAGAAGGGGGCACATCCCCCTTCTGGCAACCCCCTGATGTATCTTTTGGTTGGGGGGCCGCGCCGAAAAAGAGGTCAATTTTTTTAACAACATTTTTCAAACAAAAACAAGTGTTTGGGGCCTAAATAAGGCATTTTTTCATCATTTGAGACAACAAAAAGGGGGGGTGAAAAAGGCGTTAAAAGGCGTGTATATGAAGTAATGGGTTAACTGAAAATGATAAAAATACTTGAAATTACCCTAAATCGCGTTTTTTCATGTTTAAACATGGCCTGTCATATAAATTTGAAGAAAAATTGTTGTTTTGTAGATTTTTTTATTTTTTTCATTAACCCATTGCTTCATGAGCATTTTCTGAAAAATGGCTGTTTTCATTGAAAAGTCTCCCGTTACAAGTTCAAATTGCTATAATACTATAAAAACTGCTTCAACACTAATCAAACTTGGCACAAATGTTGACTGGACCATTGTCCTTGCAACAACATGCTCAGACTTAAATTTTCTGTTACCATGGCAACGAGGGGACATCTCAAAATTGCCAAAAATCACTATTTTGCGTTGATTTTTTCCATCAAAATTGATTTCAAAGTGCTGCAACTTATCAATGGATTGAGATAGAGTCAAATGCTTTTCAGCGTTGGTTACACGTTACCTTATGATCAATCTGGGGTCATTTACAGCCTCTCACAAGTCCAAAATTTTCTTGGCGATGAGGGGGACTCCGCCCCCCTTCAAACCCCCCAAAACAGAAGGGGGCACATCCCCCTTCTGGCAACCCCCTGATGTATCTTTTGGTTGGGGGGCCGCGCCGAAAAAGAGGTCAATTTTTTTAACAACATTTCTTAAACAAAAACAAGTGTTTGGGGCCTAAATAAGGCATTTTTTCATCATTTGAGACAACAAAAAGGGGGGGGGGTGAAAAAGGCGTTAAAAGGCGTGTATATGAAGTAATGGGTTAACTGAAAATGATGAAAATACTTGAAATTACCCTAAATCGCGTTTTTTCATGTTTAAACATGGCCTGTCATATAAATTTGAAGAAAAATTGTTGTTTTGTAGATTTTTTGATTTTTTTCATTAACCCATTGCTTCATGAGCATTTTCTGAAAAATGGCTGTTTTCATTGAAAAGTCTCCCGTTACAAGTTCAAATTGCTATAATACTATAAAAACTGCTTCAACACTAATCAAACTTGGCACAAATGTTGACTGGACCATTGTCCTTGCAACAACATGCTCAGACTTAAATTTTCTGTTACCATGGCAACGAGGGGACATCTCAAAATTGCCAAAAATCACTATTTTGCGTTGATTTTTTCCATCAAAATTGATTTCAAAGTGCTGCAACTTATCAATGGATTGAGATAGAGTCAAATGCTTTTCAGCGTTGGTTACACGTTACCTTATGATCAATCTGGGGTCATTTACAGCCTCTCACAAGTCCAAAATTTTCTTGGCGATGAGGGGGACTCCGCCCCCCTTCAAACCCCCCAAAACAGAAGGGGGCACATCCCCCTTCTGGCAACCCCCTGATGTATCTTTTGGTTGGGGGGCCGCGCCGAAAAAGAGGTCAATTTTTTTAACAACATTTCTTAAACAAAAACAAGTGTTTGGGGCCTAAATAAGGCATTTTTTCATCATTTGAGACAACAAAAAGGGGGGGGGGGTGAAAAAGGCGTTAAAAGGCGTGTATATGAAGTAATGGGTTAAGACTACTATTTATTGCCAATTGATACAGAAGATTTAACACCAAATATACATATTGCCCAATAATACGGAATAGCTAACACCTTTACAATTAACTTTGGCTGGCCAATAAACATTACGAGATCCCCCAGACGCTAGAACGAGGTTAAGTATTGGGGACAGACTTTATATTGTAAAAGGTATTCAATAAAATATTTCATTTTGTATTTGATTATCGCCTATTCTGAACGACTTAAAAATGCAGTCATAAAAAGTCGTAAAAGATGATTTACTTATGTAACCAAATTATTTACATTTCAGAAAAGGTGTTTCTACTGTCCCGTTTAATTATCTCACCTTGTCTACCTCTTACTTATTAAAATTTAGAAATCTAAGGACCATATCTTACTTTGTATATACTATGCCTCTTATTCAATTGTCATGTCCAAAAGCACAGTGAAAACTATTCAGTATGTCTAGCCGTGCTTTCACCACTGGGTATTTAATTTATACATAGTTTAATTTAGTTCAATGGCGTTGAAAAAAATATCAGTTTATAGACATACTTTCGAATCCGTTCCTAAAGCAACTACTACAAAGCAAAGAGTGTAAAGTTTCTTGCTGAAGGAAACAGCTGCTTGCCCCTGACAAGGCTTGGACCTACGCGGGCAGCCGTCCTAAAATTCCAACTGAACAGAAAAAAATGTTTCATTTAATTAGCACAAAGTACATCTTCTTTTGCGACGATATGTACATGCCAATAAAATCAACACTCAAAATAACGAAATAACGCAAAATAAGATTAACACGGAGACAATTGCATATCACAATGTGTAAATGTTAATACTTTCAAATATCAAACATTCATATCATAATACATTCATATAATAATACATTCATATAATCACGAGAAAGCATTTTTGCAGAGCCACCACCAACTTGTCGGAAGTAATCTGGATATTCTGTTCTTATTGGGATTCAGACAAACTCGGCCTATGGGACAAACGTTTCAATAAATATAGAAGTTTTTAGATGATACAGTTATTGTTTTATACATTTCGGTTAGGAACCAACATTTTCAACTTTCAATACGTTACTTATTTTAATATAATTATTTTATAGCACCATTTCTTTTAATGATAATGATATTTATTATCTTTAGATAGAATCTTTCGCATCAGAAATACACCTTGTCATTGGCGCGCGGCAAAAAAATGCATGTACAAACGATATATTAAATCGTTTATAAGGACAGCATCGGGTGATGGCTATTCAATTTAAAAGAATTGAAATTGCATCAGTTTTTAAATAATATAAGAAAATCTTACAATTCGTTTCAAATACATGTACAATGTATATACAAGTCTAAACATAAACGGACATTCTTTTATATTAACAAATACAAAATTTTCCGACAATTAACCTATTTTCTTATTTAAACATTTAAAAAGCCTCGTTAATCGTACTTACGTAAACAAAAATAAATGTGAAATAAAAAAGAAAAAGAAACATTACATAAAAAGTAACATAATAAATTCTGTCGGCAAAGTGGTGTCAATCATCGGGCCGGGGGGCGGAGCTAACATAGAATATGCTTAAAATGCATTTTTGCTTTAAGTGTGAACAATAAAACTACTTTGTCAAACGGGACAATTAATATGGACACTTTGACGACTTCTTTATGACATATTTAATTAGTGCGCGAATGAAAAGGGAATCCAGTACCTATTTGGAAGACTTTAGTTTTCATGGTTGAAGGATAGGGTTAAGCAGACTGAAGAACATCCGGCTATATATAGTTGGAATCGGTTGCAAAGTTTTCTTTTTTAAAGGTACCATGTACTGTTAACAAAAGACTGCTCAAGGAGGTTGGATTAGAATATTGAATAGTCTTTGGTAAGATCAATTTTAGATTTACTTTTATGTGATTTGGTACTTTTAGTTAAATAAAAAATATCATGTACATAATTCCAAAACAGGATTGTTTATTAATAGTGTAATTCACGATTAATATAGTTGAATACTTTGAGTGGTCACTTTTAATTTAAAATTTGAATTCAACTGATTTAAGAAATTCAAAAATTGATATTTGTGCACGCAAAATGAAAAAATACTGGACAGTTTGAAAGACATTATTGGTTAATTGACATTTACTTGATTTTTTTCTGTTTGTTTGAATATATTTTGCTTAATTTTTGCTTTGATATTTTGAGACTTATTTTGAAAATTCGTTGAGAGGCTTTTGAATTTTGCAAGTGTACGCTATTTATTTTTTTCTGTTTGGTCTCATTTAAATACCAACTAGTTTTTTTTCAGTGTTTTGTTTTTATCTAGATATTTCAATAAGATTGTTTTGGTACTATATAATTTTTAATATGTTAATATATATAACTGAAATGGGAATTATGGGTACAGTATAGATGCATATGTATTAAAACGCATCCGGGAGTTGAAGTAAAAATATCATATATTAGGCCTATTTTTCATTGTCAAAAAAAAAATATCAAACTGTAATAGTATGTTTTTAGAATTAAGAAAACATCGTACGTATTATTCATTCAACTTTGATCATTTCATGATAAATTAAATGCCCCCTTCACACAAATGACAATTATCAAAAGGTGTATGTGAAAAGATCACCAAAAGTTATTTACCTACAACGACATGACGAATATTATATTAAATCTATGTATGTTTCTTATATACTGAGTCAACACTAAATGCAGACGACAATTGTTTCCGTGACAGGAAATGAATGTACAGCCGACTTTAAGATTAACACTAAAGACATTGGCTAAGATAATTAGTATATATATTTACAAATCAAAATACATCAGAATAGATTCTAGACACATTTTGTTTGATTTGTTGAACCCTAACAGTAAGTAAAAGGAACGTGCGTGTCAAGATGAAGCTAAAATACGTGTTTTGTAAAAACACGGATGAAGTAGTTGAAGAATGACCAAAAAGAAGAAAAGATAGATTTTTCATTAAAATTCCCTCTCTCAAAGTTAATTTACATAATTATCTTTTAAGCTCTTCATGGGTCACATGAAACGTTTTTAACATTTCTATTTTTCTCTCAGTATCTTTTTTTAATATTCCATAGAAAAATGTGTTTAAATATTTTGAAATACAAAAAAACAACAACAACGAAAAACAACAACAATAACACTTTTTAAACCTGCTTCAGGAAGTTTGTACTGGACATAACAAGATAAATACACCTTATTGTTTAACTCTACGCTTAATTTATTGTTTAATAAACCTGTAACAATCCGTTAATGGAGTGTTAAAGAGGAAATAAAACATAACATCGCCGTACCGTACCGTTTAAACGACAAAGTGCACGCCAACGTAAGATACTACGGCGTACCGTTAGCGACATTGTAGTTGATAAAATGCTTCACCAGCTTGCCTCCGTGACAGATGTTTAATTAGGCTATTCAACCTGCAAATATCTGGATTTTAGCTTTTAATCTCATATTTGAAAGCTACGTTTTAGTTCTCTCAAATTTTAAAATAATAAAGGAACATAATAATAAACACCATGGGCGCAAATGACCAAAATGTGTATAGTTGAATTGTAAATCAAGATACTGTACAAGTAAAGATACTAATAAAAGTAATACTGTTAAATGTTTAAAGTTGTATTTTTGTAAGCGTATGTTGAATATGATAAAAGATATATTTGTAGCAAAAACATTAGGATTCAGTAGTCTGCCACTGCATTAGATTCATTTGTGTTTCCTTTATTTTATAATACATTTGAGATTATTAAGGGAAACTTGAAAAAATTCTTTTCAGGTATGCCATTGGCGTAGGTTTAAGTAAAAAATAAAATAATAAACTACTTATTATCAGTTCTTGAGATTTTGCCCAATCAATCTAAAGAAAGTCAATTTCACGACAGGCAGAAAAGATAAGGCATGCTTACATTTATTGTGAATAACCTGCCCTTGAAACAAGCAAAGTTTTTTTAAGTACAAAGGCTGATAACTCGAACTCGGTGTACCGTGGGGATGACACATTCGTAATAACTATAACATAAGCCTTTAATGGTGTTTTTTTCCTTTTTCATTTTTTTTGCTTTGGGTCAATTACTCTAAAAAATACAAAATCAAAAGAAATTAAAAACTATATGTTGTAAATAAATAAATAAAAAGACCGTCGAAAGCAAAAACGCAGTCAACACATTACACAGCAAAATGGTATGTTATAAAAAAAACAAATAAGTCTTATCGCGTTTCTGTCATACATTTCACACGCTCATGTTTCCGGTGAATCCCTTTAACTGAAGAAATAAGTTTATTGCCCATGTAACAAAACCGGTCCTTAATAAAGCATTAGGTCCTAAAATTGCGTCATAACAGTTCAATACAAATACTGGTGTTGGAAGACCTCAGGTATTCTGTTGAGTATTAATTCGGTAACGAATGGACACTACAGACCAGATGACGTTCTGTAACCTGGCTGGGAAACTTCCACACTTAAAAACGTAACTTAATAGTCACTTACAAGATTCGAGCCCTGTTTTCATCCTGAGTTCGTATCATAAGAAAATCCTTGTTTTGGTTGTATACTATAGTTCTAAACTTGTTGACATGTAAAGAATATGTATAAAACGTGATCTTACACATGTAGTGAATCAGTTTCTTTTAGATTTAATAGCCTATTTTACATACTGTGCGATTTAAAAAACAACATGATTATTCCATTTAAAGCATTGGTCAATTTCTTTCAGAACTGTAACGTGCAAATAAAATGCAAACGATGATCGTACGCAAGATTAATATTTATTTAATGATAATAACATAACAGATCTGAGAAATGGTTTATAATCCACGTGCGATTTACACAAATCATTTAAATACATTTTCATAAATGTGCAAATAAGACGATTTGTTTTTTGTCTTTTTTTATTTATTTTTTGGCTTTAATATTACTGTATACGATACTATTACAAAGAAAGCATTACATCCTAGTACGGACTTTTTTTATTTCTCCGTTCGTTTGGTTTGTGAAAAAGTCAAATTCTTATCTAAGCTATATATACTAGACAAAAAAAAAACAACAACAACAAAACAACATATTATCTCACAGTAGTGTTGTATAAACACCACGACGTAAACTGCCCCAGGTGCTTGTATGCTTAAAAACCTTGTCAAAGTGATGGGACATAGTCTTTTACATATTTTGTTTGTTGTCATGAAAAATGGATTATGTTACTTGCGGTGCTGTATTTTGTCATGTAAATAGTAAACACGGCTGACCATTCATGACATAGCTTATTAAGGTTTATAATTTATTCACCCCTTTCATGCTAATAATGATTTATAACGGACAAGTTCTCATTAACCAACCTTTAAGTGACGTCAAAAACTGGGCTCAGTCGTTGATATTGTGGTAACTGACCAGAACATATGGTTGATGATTAATTGGAAAGTTCGTATTATTTACTACAATCATTGTTTTAGATTTAATGTCGCATGTTTTCGAGGCATGATACATGTATCTATTTCCCTGTCACAACTATGGCATATTCTAAATTCAGACTGTTACAAAAATTGGAGAATAAAAATTTCACTGTAGAGATCTTGACTTGCTTGACTTGAAGATAGTTGTATCATAATTGCCACATCTAATGCTGCTTTCGGCTGTAGTGTAATTAGCGTTAAGTAACGTAAGTTACGTAAGTTACGTAACGTTTAACAAACCTACTGGTGCTTTGCTAAAACGTTAATCGGCTACTTTGCATATTTGACAACGAACGCATCACGTTAGTTTCCGTAATATATCAATTTTATAAGTCAAAAAAGTGGATGCCAAAATTATTTAATAATGTTTCATTTTACACATGTTTAAAAGCACTTCAACATTAATTAACAAAGATGTATTGTCATTTAATTTACATTTATGTCAAGATTTATGTTATACATGCCAGGTAGTTTATCAAAATAATCACTTTAATTTGTTACGTTAAATTGAAAGAGAATAGTTACATCTTCATCAATAATGCATTGTAGGTATGTAAAGCTCTTTTTAATTGTACATGATATGTTAGTAGTTCAATAAAAAGATGAAGTAGTTCAAAAGAAAAATAAATAGATCACCTAATTACATGATAAACTTAAAAATACATAAATCATTTGTTTTTTCATCTCATTTTTGTGTGTGCATGCGTTCGACTAAAACTTGTTAAAACTTGTACATTTATGTACTTTGATCTCATTTAATGTGATGTTTAACAAGAAAAAAGAGACATACTGTTAAAGAGGGTAAGAAAATTTTAAGCCAATCATTTTTATGGATATTTTTAGATAGATCAAAGGTATAATATAACATTATACAATATTCATACGCGATTAATGCATTCATGTATATAATGAAGATAAATAGTGCCTTGTCATAAATGTAACACTGTCATTACATAAAACGTCATAACCTCCTTAACGGAAAACAGTAAAAACGGTTTTTGATTAATGTGTACTCAGACAAAAATTACGTTACGTAACTTACGTAACTTACGTTACTTAACGCTAATTACAGTACAGATTATGTATTCGGTTCTTCATTTTTTCAATGATCAATAATAAAATTTTGGAATATATATAGAAAAAAATGTAGAAGAAATTAAATTTGCGTATTCTTTGCAATTAATATCGAAATTTTAAATACAAGAATACAATGACCCGGCTGTTGAAAATAAGAATAAAAATAATTTCGCTACCAACACAATTAATAACAGTATCATAAAATACAATGTTGCCTAGTTTTAATCCTTTATATTGACAGACAAATTTAAAAACGAACTCTGCTTACACATGCTACTGCCCACATTTATCTGCTTTGGGTTACTTTTTTCAAATTTTACCCACTTTTACCTATTCAAGTATCGTTTGCTTCATTTATTCAATTAAACTTTTTAAGTGAGTTTTCTCCACTCTCACTTCTTTCAACATGTCAAATTCACGTGTATAAAAACGTGTTTTTCCTCATGAAACGATCATTTTTTATCTAAACAAAGTTGCCTCTGAAAAATTACTTCCTTAATAAAGAGTCATTAATAAAGAAATGAGTGTCACGCCATTAAAGTCTCCATTTTTCATTGTTTACAATTAACATAAATGGGTTATACTTTACGTATATCCGGCTGCCTTCGTCAGCTCTGTTTTTATAACTTTGTGGTATTTAATTATGCAATGGCATGCTATGAGGATTTCACTACTGAAACACATAGCTCCGAGAGGAAACTTTTATTCCAAAAATTTTATGAAATCGGCAACAGGAAATAATTTGTATATTTGTCAAACGCAATATAGCAGATTCAAAGGGTCATAATTGAGAAATTTAGCATGAAAACAATGTTTTTAGAAGCCAATAAATATTTAATGAGTTCAAATGTAAATATGCAGTGATGTCATTATTCATAGGGCCCGCCCCTTACGTTTATCATACTGACCTATTTTTTTTTACATTTAATGCATTTTACAAAGTGAAATCATAGTCTTTCCTTGTCGTATAACGTGGGAGCTATTTGAATTTATTTCAGTCAGAGTCAGATGACCTATATTTGTCATATCTGGTCCTTTGAAGTTGGTTTATGTTGGAATAAACATTTCATGTAATGACACTACTCATATTTTATTTGGTCAAAATCTAGAATATTTCTCTGCGTTTGTCATTTGATTTTTAAAGCGTGAAATAAAGTCTTTAATCAAATAGCTCTAATTTTTTCGGTAGGTTATATGTAAAGTCGGTAGGTTACATGTAAAGTCGATGGGCAAAGTATTCGGCTGATGACAGTGTCGACATACCGTATTCTTAAACATACCGTAATCTGTTAACTAGAATTTTCAAAAGAAGGTTACCACTCATTATCGCATGGTTTGGAACTTTTTCTTTGTTCTTACTAATAGGAAAATAACACAACTGCTATATAGCGGTTGAGTTTTTTTCGCACCTTGTATATCGGTGTAGTTTTTTCACTGAGGCTCCAATGGGGGAAGCGGTAACGAACATTCACTGTAGAAAAAAAAATAAGTAAGAAAGAAAATTAATGAAATGAATTTATTCTCATATAATAATGCAACTGCTGAAATAAAAAGGAACATCCGCTGAACTGAAAACGCCCTTTAATTTTGAATCCGAATAACTTTTTTCACAAACTATCAGTTTACAATCCGTCTCTAACATTGGACGTTGCTTTAAGTTTTCAATATAATATAACTGTAATCTAGCTTACAACATCATTAGCTGGTATTGGTTCATTTTATCTGGGAGTAAGAAGGTGAAAAGTGAAAGGGCACAAGAGAGAGAAATGCACGTATTTTTGCTTTTTGTTGTTTTTTTGTATTTTTTTCTGATTTCTATTACAAGTAAAAATGAAAATGCGATAAAACAGTTATAGTACAATGTATATGAAACTCGTTAGTTACGGGGATATAACACTGGCTGGGGCGACATCAAGGGGTGTTTCTGCTAAAACGAGGCCTATAGGCCGAGACAATTTTTTTGCAGAAACATCCCGAGACTATATATAACTATTACTTAAAAAAATCTGATTTCTGGTTTAAAAATATCTTGAGGGTTCTAAAAATAACGGTTACTGTACTGAGGCATGACGTACCTGAACAAGGAAACGCTGTACAGTTTCGAAGATAAATATTACTCAACTGAGATTATGTTCACGTATTCCGGTGACGGGTTATGGTCATATGGTTAAAACGATTTGCCAAATTAATGAATTGACAATGGATGACATAATCACGTTAAATAGGCAAATTACTCATTTATTTAGCTGTAAAGCAAACGAATTAACTATCAGATGCAGCCCATTAATCTTCTTCTGACGGACTACTTTCATAACTTTCATGAAAATGCAGTTAACCTGTCAAGACATGCAATTACTGGATTTAAAGGCCGATGACCTGGTTTTGGCCTTAGAAAAGCAACACCTTTTTAGCAGTTTTATGCCTCCTGCGCGTGTTTATAGACAGTAGGACATCACTAATTGGGACGTTAGTTTTTGTCTAGTTTACATTGTGTGAATTGGAATAATTCAGAATGCTTAATCAAATAATATTCTAATTTACACCAACACATCCTCTGTATCAACCATGGGCATCAAATAAAACTAACTATAGATATCTATAAAATATACGCATATACCTGGTTCATTAGATATTTGTTCATACTTCATATTTAAAACAAGTTTCATAATTTATCGTTACAGGTAAGGATTGCCACCTCTTCCGGAAGACACAGCATGTCAGCAAGCATGCGATCTGGATCATTAGACGCCTCGGCCGCCGCTGCCAAGAAGGGGGGACGCCGATTCTCGTGCCCTCCAGGTACTCTTGTAGAAAGTGCTGTAACAATAAAAAGAGCACCCTTTACACAAACAGCATTTGACGAAATTCATCTGAAATCTGACGATCATGAGAAAAAGACACTTTCAGAAAAGTTGAGGTCAAAATGTTACTGTTCTAGGCAGAAATTATTCAAGTTTTTCGCCGCTTATCTACCAATAATCAAGGTTTTGCGATACTATAACATCAAAGACTTTCTTGTGACAGATATTCTTGCCGGTGTTACCATTGGAATCTTGCATATCCCTCAGGCGCTTGCATTTGGACTTCTCACCTCAGTTAAGATAGAAAACGGTCTCTACACATCAGTTTGGCCAGTAATTCTGTATGTGCTGTTTGGAACGTCTGCGCATGTCTCTATGGGAACTAGTGCTGTTATATGTATAGTAACAGCCGCTGTTGTTGATCGACAGGCGGATATTTTTAAGCTTGAAAATCCCCATTTAATGTCTAATGCTACTGGCAATGGGACTTTACTATGGGAGGACATTCCTGAATTTATGGATTTCAAAGAAGCAACAGCAATGGGGATAGCGTTTTTCACAGGTATGATTCTTATGACTATGGGAGTTTTGAAACTTGGATTCATCACGGCCTATCTGTCAGATTCATTTTTCAGTGCCTTTACTTCCGGCGCAGGGGTACATATTGCCACTAGTCAGATTCCAGCGATTCTTGGTTTGAAAGTTCCTCGCTTCAGCGGAGTGTTCAAAATTGTCAAGACATATTCAGCTATATTTGGAGCAATCTCAGCAGCAAACGTAGCCGCCCTAATCATTGCACTCCTATCAATGATTGCCATCTTGTTTGTGAAAGATTACCTAAATGAAAAATTAAAAGGTAAAATTCCTATTCCGATTCCAGTCGAACTTCTTGTTGTCATCGTCGCAACCATAGTTTCATATGCAGGAAATCTGTCAGGAAACTTTGGCGTCGATATTGTCGAAAGTATTCCAAACACAATTCCTGCACCAGTTATGCCTGTTTTTGACGGAGTGGAAACATACATCGTGGACTGTTTTGTCTTAGCAATTCTAATTTTTGCCAATACTATTGCCATGGCTAAGATTTGTGCAAAACGACATAATTATGAAGTAGACGACAGCCAAGAACTGATCGCATACGGAATGTGCAACTTCGCCTCATCGTTCCTCCGTTGTTTCCCGTCAGCTGTAGCCCCACCAAGAACGATGGTTGCAAGTGCAATGAACACAAAGACAACTGTATGCGGAGTTTTCTCAACAGCTCTACTGATTCTTCTCATTTTGGTTATGAGCACTCTTTTTGAACCGTTGCCGAAATCAGCATTAGCAGCGATTATTTTCATCTCTCTAAAAGGTCTCTTTATACAGTTAAAAGATTGTGTTAAGTTTTGGCATGTAAACAAGATTGATTTTGTCATTTGGTTCTTCACCCTGTTCAGCGTTGTGTTCCTTGACATTGATTTTGGACTTGGCATCGGCGTCGTGGTGTCACTGATCACTGTTGTCTTTCAAGCACAGTTTGCGAGAGGATACCGACTCGGCAGAACCATGAAAGATGTAACAGTTGTCGAACATAAAAAGTACGCAGATTCCATCGAAACATCTGGCATCAAGGTCTACAGATTTCACTCAAATCTTTTCTTTGCTAATGCAGAAATATTCAGAACGGCTTTATACAGGACCACAGTAAACCCTAGAAAGATTCTTAAGTTCATTAAAAAACAAGAGAGGTTGAAGGCAAAAGAGGAAAAGTCAAGAAAAAGTCAAGTAGATGGAGAGAGCTACATGTACAAGCCTGAAATTACTATGGAAATACCAGGTATAACCGTTAATGGTGACAATGCAAAGGTAAACGAGAACAAATCAGAACCCGCTACCATTAGCAACGGGCGTGAATTTATGCGACTTGAAAGCACGCCATCAACTGCGTCGAATGGATCATATAAAGGATCACTTGTTGGCATTGACAACCCTGTGTACACGAACAAAGAAGACCAGTTTAGCACACTCGACATTCCACAAGAGTATAACTTAAACCGCAGAAACATGAGTATCGCTACAATTACAACGATTGGATCCTTAGATGAATCTATTGACCCAGAAGACGGACAGGAAGTTGTCACGGAGGAGAAAATCCGACGCCTGCGCAGAATACATCACGTGATTATAGATCTTTCCACATGTAATTACATGGATATTTCTGGTGCGAACGTTATTAGTCATATTTTTAAGGAGTATGCACACGTAAATATCAAAGTTTTTCTTTCAAACGTTTCCTACGACGTACGACAAACCATGCATTTTGCTGGCGTATTTGACACAATTCCAAAAGACAATATTTTTGTTGATGTTCTAGACGCAATAGCCGTTGCTAAGCTAGAAATGGTTGTACCTATTCCAGAAGAAGGTCTCGAGGACTTCACGATAGAGGAGGCGGCTGAAGACAAATATGTTACCAACATTTGATTATTATGTAATCACAAAATTGTATTGGTAATATCTATCCGTGTATATGTATAAAAATGTAAATAATATATATAGCTATAGAAATTATCGTCAAGATTCTACATGTTGTATTTTTGTACCTCACCAATTTGACATAGTTTGTTGTATTCCTTTTATTTGTTTCAATATTGTTCATGTATATAAATAGCATTTTATAGTTTAAACTTGTTGTTTCTTTAGAAAAGACAGCCATCGTATGACATATATATTTTTATTATTATACCTATTGTACTGCAGACGTCTAAAAGAACAAATATAATGTTATTAATTATTAATTATCAGTTGGATATCCAAGCAAATATTTCTTAAAAATATAAATGTGGCATATAATGAAATGGGCATTATTTTTTTGTTCTTAGAAGTTTTACATTTTCTGCAGTCATATTGTTATACAATACTTGATAGTGGTGCAAATGTCTTTTTTCTATTTGACAAGTTTTATTTTCAGTTTTAATTTTTTATGTAATAATACGCGGCTATATTGTCTTTTTTTAAATAGAGCATAACCGAGAAAATTGCAGTGTAGCATATGAAATAACAAACTGGATTTATTTTATGCGAGAATATTTTATCAACCAAATACTTAATATATTCTTGTATAGACAATAGTTCATTAGAATGTATATGAGTATCAAGAAAGATTACATAAAACAGATATCTAAAACAATTAGTGTTGGTATTTATTTTACCTTTTTGTATGATTTCTGAACCATACTTTAATATGTAAAGACTACAAGAGTGCCGTGGGATGAAAGTGGGAACATATCATCCCATTAAGTCTATATATACGAGATTTAAATAACTAATCCCCTCATTTCATGAAATGAAGTTGTAACCATATTCTCTTCTCCCCTAGGTTTTATTATGCCAAGTCCTCATATCCTCTTCTCCGAAAACATTTACATTACCCAATGACTCATATTTACTTCTTCTCCAACATTTATACGATGTGTACAAAAGTCTTCAGATTATCTTCTCCTCCAGTGTCATCAAATTCTTCTCTCCTAAAGCATTTTATTGCTAAGTCTTCGTGTTTCCTTTTCTTCCAGCATTTATATACACACGTCCTCTCAAGATCATGTTCTCTAGAATTCATTTTATCAAGTCGTCAGGTTTTCCTCTCTTCCAGCATTTATGTGTCCGTTTCATCAGATTCTCCTCACCCTCGGCATTAATGCACCCGTGTCATGTTATTCATCATTCCCCTACCAATTTATAATACCAAGTTTTCATATTATCTAATGTTCTCCTGAAACTGACTTACTAGTATATTAAGACTTCAATAGAAACACGTAAAGAACACGTATAGTGCTTGAGGAAAATAGCCCTCTCACGTGACAATGGTACAAAAACTGTTAAAAATAGTTGTTTTTAATTTATAACGACATTGCATTTTTATCATGCGATATTCAATAGAGGACGTTTTTCTTGCTTTTTAGTAGCACCAGGACACTGAATTGCACCCTAAATTACATACTACTTACTTCACACATATAAGTCTTTACATTCGCTTGATAGACCCTTTTTTATTTACCTATTTAAAAAAGTTCAGTGCACTTTAATTTTTCGAGGCATACTTTATGTGGAAAGGTTACCACATACAGATTATGTAAGATTCTACTGACAGTCATAGTTATGCAGAAAAGCACGTTAACATTTAGAAATAGAATTACACTTAATAGCAGTTTATTTCGCTTTTGTCTGTGACATTTTAATGCACATCCGTAATCTCAAGGGCAAATGGGGAAGGGCAACATCGCTAGGTAGTTACTTATCAAGTAATTTATTTCTAGCTTATGTGAGATTTTTAGCAACCTTGCAGACGTAAAAAAGTTATATCATGCAAGTTTAGTAGAGAAAACAGGAAACGCCATATTGAATTTCTCAGTGTGATGTAATGCAGATAAAAGCCCGAATACAGTCTGAAAATACACTTGATGAATTTTCAAATCAATCGTCGTTGTCTCATGGTTTTTCAGCTATTTCATAAAACTGCGTATCTTATAAGCCTTATTGCTTAATCATATTGATGCTTAATTTTATATTGAATAGCCGCGGAAAGTGGGAAATATAGCATCTGTGATTGTTTTACCATAACTTAAAAAGTATTTCTTAAAATTAATAACTTTGTCACAATAAACCTTTATGCTGTGGTTAGCGACCTTCGACGGTTCCCAATTTTTGCTATGATATTGTCACATCGCCGCTGTTAGCTGTAAAATGTCCCCCCCCCCCCCCGAACTTTCAATCGACATAAAATGCGGCTATTGTTGGTTAGAATTATATTCACACAAGATGTCTATACGCTCCTGACATATCCTAGAGGAAATTATCAACAATGAGTACAATGTCTAATTGTATGTAAATTTGAATGTTTCTTGATTTAATGATATGTAAGCCGACAAAATTAATTAATTTCATGAACTAAGAATGTATTTTCAAGTTTTCAACTGACAGTGTAACATTTCACCTTTAAAAGAAGATTTTACCGTTGTTACACTAGAACACAATATCAGTAATTGTATTCAACATTTAGAAAACACTGTTGCGTTAATCTATAACAGCATTTAGCAATTCAAATCTTTTCTTTTAAAGGTGCTCCCAAGAAAGAAAATAAAAGGAAGTTGTTCGCTTGTCAAGTAACACCCCGCCCTCCTAGCAATTTACTTGAAATTTTATTGGTTTTCAAATTAAAGTACGAATATTCAAATGCTTATAGAGCATTAGGTTATAATGCAATAGGTGATATACTGTTATATTGAAAGCAAACTTAACATCGCTTTAATGTTAATATTATTTAATTCAGATTGCGTATTTCAAAATATGTTTAAAATAAGGGAATTGTTCGTACATATCCTTTCTTTTGAGTATAGTTTGTAGACAGGAAATGTTAGCAACTGTTTATAGTCGTGTCTAAAACATACACGAGATAAACCTTGTACAAACATATGTACTGTTTCAAAAACATTACATTTTCCGCTTGAATCAAATGCGATTTTCTAGTTAATTGAATCGCCGTCTTTGTTTTGAAATTTCTAAACTCAAAAACTTCATTAAAAACATGTATACATGTACATCAAGACACAGTTAATCATGCTTTATTCTGAGTTCCCGCAAAGTTCAGTGGTCAAATTATTTTAATAAGATAAAACGAACTTAAAACTGCTTAATTAACAGACACATACTAGTAATAAGTTTGTACTTTTTAGACACACATACATGGATAGTTTATTATGTAGTAAAACCGGAAGAGTTCGGAAGTTTTGAAGATCAAACTTCTTAAAACAGTGAGACAATATCTAATTATTTATAGTCGCCAACTTCTGTCCTCAAAAGAATGTTTATGTTTTCATTTATTTATTTATTTATGTATGTATTTATTACCTATTCATTCATTCGTTCGTTCATTCGTTCGTTCGTTCGTTCGTTCGTTCATTCATTCATTCATTCATTCATTCATTTATTTACTTATGATGCAACTTATACAGAAATTTCTCAACAGCTGTTTGATTCCGAATTCTATTCTGTTCAACAGCTAATACATTTACCTACCATAATGTTATCTGTTATGCTAATTATTATCATGTGTACATTTTATTCAATTAAAAAAACAAGAATAAAGATCAATAAGGCAAATGCAACGTTCCATGACGCAGCCCCCCGACACACTCAAGTAGGGCACCCAGAAGGCACCAAACAAAACCCCGGAGTGGAAACAAGGGCGGCCAAAGGAGAGGGACATGTAATATGTGAAATAATAAAAACTAAAACGGGCCCATATGGCAATTAAAGCTAATTAAAACATTACATGTTAATATCTTTTGTAAAAGATTTCTTTTCTTATGTCAATTAACGAGAGATCAAGTCCTGGTTTATTCTTTGAAAAGAATATTTTCATTTTTATATATACTTTGAAAATTCTTGAAATCGACGAGATAACTATGTCTAGGTTAGTGTCTATAAGTTTTTACAAATTTAAATTGGTAAAGAACGACGCAATTTCATGCACTAATACTGTTTTTGGATCGATGAGTCAAATTTTAAAGTTTTTAAATCTTCTTAATTGCGTTGTTTAAAATAGCTATAAGTAAACCCCTTATCCGAGATCACACCATTTGATAATGGGGGAAACAACAAAGAAGGGATGACACTATTATATTTTGCTTATCTTTTCTTAAAGTTTCTGTTGACGATTTTGATAGGAAAGTGCCACTTTTCATCGTTACTAATGCTCTTTACCGTATAGTGCAACAACCCCAATCTTATCAATTTTTAGTAAAGTACATTGTATCGTAAATCCTAAATCGTAAATCCTACAAGTTGACATATAAATAGACAGACTTTTTAATGGCACCCGATATACACTCTTTATTGCTACAAATGTTATGCAAGGTTTAAAATTTGTTTCTATTTTACCCCGATCGTGATCAATTAAATTGACTTATGGAGTCGGTGCTGAAGCCACACCTATGCATGGAAAGTAAAGTAATTAATTGTAGCTTTGAATGAGGTGGAAACGCGGACAGATCATTATTTGATTCATTTTATTTCATTTGGTTGACGTTGAATTATATACATCAGCTATTCTGCTGAACACTTTGTGAAACAAATACTGTACGATTCAAAAGGTAAACAAAATGTTCTGATAATGGCAACGTCGTTTTTAAATATTTTTTTACAAGGGCCTTTAACTGTTTGAAAAACAAGAAGAATGATCAAATGTTGAATTGTATCTAAGCAGCTATAGGGAACCATGTACAGCAACATTTACATTTTGTCCACTGTGTTACTGTCTAATTTAATAATTCTTATTCATTCCAAAAGCTTTTAACAAATAGAAATAAAAGCATTTTGTGACATAATGGGTCTTTAATCCAATTTTCATTTTAAAACTGCATGCTTCCAGATGAACCAAAATATGTCAAGAAAATCAAACCTGAGAAAAAGTACTGAAATTTGAAGTAAAAGATACAAGATAAAAGTTATAATTACCATGGCATGTGCGATTTATGACCGATTTTGCAGTATTTTACATCATATTTATACTGCGTTACTAACGCATTTAAGGTCTATCTTTGCATAGTTTGACCTCTTTTGGTAATGTAAATGGGATGTTAGTGCTGTTTGCAATTTGAAAATTATTTTCTTTGTTCACTTCAAAATATTTCACTTCTTAAATACTTTTTCAAAAGTGCCGTGAAAATTAGCATGAATCTGTAGGCGTGCTGTGTATACAGTGCTGCTTTAATGATGAAATACGCCTTCAAGTTCAGACCGTTGTTATGATGTTATATCATATTGAGAAAAAACAAAGGCTTCATAAATACCAAACTTTTCTAGGCAAATTCAATGGTCGATTTTATTTATTTATTACAGACTTATTCATGTATGATTAATGACTTTTCATTTTATACTGAAATACGAACTTTTATTAAGTAACAGTTTTCGTAAAAGAGAATAAATACGTGTTTACGAGACACATGTGGTAAATATAACTATAAAATATATACTTACAAATATATAAAAAAATTCAAAAGCAATTTCATTTTTTTCCGTACTTAAATAATATTCGTGTTTATGATTGTTTTTCATAAAGTTGCATGTCAACGCCGAATTAGCAAGAAAGGGAAATAATTATGTTTCCTTAAAGTTCAACTTCATTTGCGG